GGGGGGGGGGTGAGCTTAAACATTTTAATATACTTTTATTTTGCTAAATAACTTGAAGTCATTAATTTGCTTTTTCTTTTTGCAATTTGCGAACTCTCGCAGTGTATAATTATTAACTACTCTTTACCAGCAATAAGTCACTTTCTCCAAAAGCAAAATTGTTTGCAAACACTTCCGATCTCCTTATATTTGTCAACAGGAAATTTTTGGATCATCATGTTACAGAAAGAATATCATCTTGAATGGACAAAAAACTTATATCTTGCTTTTAAAATTTCATCAACAAGGCATCTGCCTGATTTAGTAAAAGAGAGAGTACCTCATTTATTAGCCCCAATTGTTGAACATAGTCTTTACCAGGGAAAAGAGGCTCTCTTTTAAGTATTTCCATCAATATACAACCAACTGACCACATATCAATTGCAGCAGTATACTCTGAACAGTTGAGCAATAACTCAGGAGCTCGATACCATCGAGTTACGACATACTCAGTCATATAATCTATCTCCGAGTTGGTTCTTGCAAGTCCAAAGTCACAAATCTTCAGATCACAATTAGCATTCAGAAGTAAATTACTGGGCTTTAGATCTCGGTGCAGAACACAGGCAGAATGTATGTATTTTAGTCCCCTTAGTAGCTGATATAGGAAGTACTGTAAAGAAAAAGACGTTAAAACTTCGTAAACGTTTAAGTTCATAAAGCTAATATATGACATGAAACAATTTTAAGTTACCCAAACCAGAGAAGCGCAATACGTTTTCAGAAACGGTTGCTTGGTGGAACTTATTCATGACATTAGTCATTTAGAATTCTAAGTTATAAACAGCAAAGGCAACAGTAATATTTTGATGCACCAAACAATGTGGCATGTGGTTTCTAAAACAAAAGAAAAAAAAAAAAAATAACGCTTATTGGATCAGTCGTACCTACGATGAGTTCGCTTTGGCGATTGCATATGAAAATTCATTAGGACCAAAAACAAAAAGGTAAACAAAAACACAATATGAGGAAACACATTGTTCAGGTAATACCATGGAAAAGCATCTTGCTGCATTTATGAAGACACAACATGGTCCACCTTATAGATTATTCTCACAATAGAACTACAGCTTTTCATTAGCCGTTTAAAATATCTTTCACGATCGAATTTCAAAACAATTTATGCCATTGCCAGGACATTAATTTATCACAACAAACACAAAGAAGGCATTATTAGAAAGCCTTCATTTGAAATGGTCTTGGTTACTTGAAGAAGATTAAGGGAGTCCAAAAACTTTCATTTCATCAGATCTCCTTCTCATATAAACATAAAGGATACAAGACAAGCATGTGCCCATGCAGCTACTTATCATCTTCAGAAAAAAGTCGATCAGGACCTCGCTAACGTTGCAATGAATTATCAGAAGGTATCATAGGAGTACAAATGTTCACAGCATGTAAGTTTGACTTTTAAATCTCATTTCAAACATACACAAATATTAATAGTTCAATATTAGGTGTCAAAGCATTATCCTCTTACTAGCGCAGCAGATCAGGTCTGAGTACCAAATTCTGAAATCATTTAACACATGGAGACTTACACGAAGACTATCAAACAACTGACACCTACTAGCACACTACAGTGCACAATTAAATTGACACAAAATATATATGAATAACAACGGGTTAACGATAATCAACAAAAGACACCACCAACCATCAACACGAACTTACTTGGCAGTGGTCCTCAGTAAGTTCCTGCGACGAACATATGATCTGGTGCAAATCGGTATCCATCAACTCATACGCGATGTAGACATCACTAAAATCAGCTCTATCAGGTGGGCGTATAATATCCTTAATTTTAATAACCTGATACAAAATGCACCACAAACGCATTCAATAAATCACCCATAACCAACATCTTAAAGATCGAAAAGAACAAAAGAAAACAGAAAAACTTGACCAAAAAAAAAAGGAAGAAATCAGAACGGATCTATAGCTTCACCAACATTTTCGTGATCCATATGGGTAAGCAGCTTGATTTCACGTAATGTCCTTTTCGCATCTATCCTGTTGTCAAAAGCATTGGCAATTCTCTTAATCGCCACTTCTTCCTTCGTCTCGGCATCGGTGACGGCGCTGCCGACAACACAAATACCGCCGGAAAAATCTCAAAAATAAGATACACACATAATCAATTCTGTAGGAGAGAATTACAGAAACAAAAATCTCAAAAAAATAAATCAATGAAGAAATTACCAAACGAGACCATAGGCGCCGCGGCCAATGGGATTGATTGGAGGTATATACTTGGAAGGGACTTCAAAGAGGTTGCCGAGGACGTTATACTGAGTGAATTTTCCGCCATAGATGGGAGCTCCACCTACTTGAACAGCTGAACCATTGGATTCATTTTCCTTTTCTCTTTCCATTTTTTCCCCCTTAGAAATTAGGGCAATCTTTCGGGGTGTATTATTGTTTCTCCTTATTTTACTTTTTCTTTCCCAGCTTCAAAGTATTCAAATGAAAAATGGAAGGAGGGAAAACATAATCCTCATTAGAGCATCTTTAACAATGGCTTTTGGATGAGGTTTAAAAACACAAACCTTAGGTTTTGCTATTAGAGAGGGGAGGTTTGAGGTTTGTAAACACAAACCAGGTTTGGTTTCACAAACCTCCCTCAAACCTCTTATAATTAAAATTTAAAAAATACATAAAGGAATGAAAAGAAGAAAGTGGAGTTCACATTTTCATCCACATGCTTATCTTTGGGCACGTGTAATCCAATTGCTAAAATTGGAGTGGAGAGGCTATGGCCCACTGGTGCCCACCCATGTGCCTTCTTTTAATTTTGTTGTTTCGTTATTTTGTAAATTCATGAGGTATACTATTTTTTTTTTTTTAAATGTTTCACTTTTTTCTTTATTTATTTTTACTTACGTTTTCTTTTACTTTTTTTTTTTAAATTTATTTCTAATTTAGTATTATTTTTTTAATAATTCATTAACTTATTTAACATGATTTTATATAGATTTATGGTAAATATATGAAATATTTAGTTTGAATTAAAATAAGAGTGGATATTTATTTTTAAAATATTACTATATATATAAGAGTAATATTAATTAAAATCTCATTTACGTCGTTAGTAATTAACACTCTATAATTATAAATAATACAATATAATTATATTTATTATATTATATGTACTTATGATCAATATATAAGTATAAAATTAATTAAAAGTAAGTGAGGAACATTATAATTAAATTAGTTTTTATATGTGTTTTAAAAAATGTAAGAATATAATATTTTTTTTATTTTTTTTTCCAATAAAGAATATAATCTATTCTATATATATATTAAAAGCCAACCTATTTACCAAAAACAGTAGCAAGAAAAGTCAACACACATTTAATGCATACTTTATTTAGAAATTTTTTACTATATGCATTAAATGCTAGCATATTTACATTTACTATCCAAATATGATCTTCAAGATTTTTTCCTTAAATAATTTATGCAATGATTTTACTGATATCCATTATAATTAATATTTGTCGAGTAATATTTTTTGACCTTTATTTAATTATATAACACTAATATTTTTTTAAAGAATTAATATTATTTATTATTTAAAAGATAATGATCACATCATTACATGATTTTATTGATGGTTAGATAATAAAATTATAATTATCCTTTAAAATTTCGACATGTTATTTATTTGTATAGTGTTTTATCACTTTTTTTTTGTTATGTTTCAACAATGAACTTATTGTAAAATATTTTTCTATTGCATAGTATGTTAAATAAACTATAAAGCCTTAGGATGAAAATTAGAAAAAAATCTCTTGATTATGTAAGAATTTTATTTTTTGACAATTGCTAAATCATTTTTTTTAAAAAGAATTATTATGAGAAAATTGAATTCTAAAAAACATGTGTGTGTATTTTGTAAACATTTATACTCAAAATTTTATTTTGAATTTCATTACGTAAAGAAGACTGTTGTTATGTGATTTTTAACAACGATGTAATACGTGAGTAAGATGAGGATTATGAATGATTTGGACGTAAAGCATGTAGAAATAACTTAACAATGGCCCCGGTCCGAGGTGAACCGAGGTGAAGAGCCGTGATGGGCTTTTACGTGTTGCGTAATAAAGTTTTTTCGGTTCCGAGAGAGATCCCCGTACAAATGTTAGGGGTTCACTATTTATAGTAACTTTTGGTAGATACATAGGGATCTGTGTACTACTTTTTGGATAAAGTAGCTTTTTGTGGGCGGTTTGGAGCAGTGGGTCCCACATAAATGATGACGGATCTTGTGGAGCGGGATGGTCGTGCGTTGGCACCTTGTCACCTGCTTAAGGAGGTGGCGATCTCGGTTTAAATAGACCTCGGTAGGTACTGACCACTTCGGTCTTCGGTAGTTCGGTCCGGTTCTTCGCCTGGACCGGGGTGGTGTTAAAATCACGTCGGTTCAATGGTCATCTTCCTCTTAATGTGATGTTTGGAATCTCTTAATGGTATTTTACCGAATCGGATGATAGCAAAGACTACTTCTATAACTTTTATAAATAATAATAATTACATTATATGAGTGTAAATTTTATAATAAAATAATAATTCAATATTATATGGTGAACAATAATTAATAAAAAATTTATTTTTTCCTATATCAATGAATAAATATGTATTCTAAAATCAAATAAATATTAGTATGACGTGTTAGCGGAATTATATATTAATTAACATGTTAATGTTTTGGCTTAAATAAACGCCACTTATTAAAAGATGTGAAATATGGATGATCCAAGCGTATTGGTTTTTTTGTCTAGACGTACAAGTCCTATAGAAACAATTGATTTATTATATGTATCACGTGCATCGCACGGGGTATGCACTAATAAATGACCTTAAAATTGTGCACTCCGTGCATCACCTCCCGTACATTTTTTTTATTCATTTATATAATTATAAGAATGGATAAATAACCTTAAAATTTTGCACCCCGTGCATCGCACGGACTCTGTACTAGTATTAATTAAAAATAAGTATGAAACATGTGGGACCCATGGAAAAGAGGTTTATGAAGTTTATTGTTATTGGAGGTTTATAGATGTAGGAGTAAGAATGAGGTTTTGGATGATGTGACATGTTGGGAAGTGTAAAAGGAGGTTTATGGAAGTTTTATTATTAAAGATGCTCTTAGTATAAAAAAGAAATCCAAAATATTAAAAATTACATATTGTGTATTTAAATAGTATGAGTGTCCCTAATCATACTAATAACTTCTAATAGATGATATATGATAGAATTAATTATATGAATCGTCATACTTTTAAAATATTTATATATATAATAAATATGAGATATTTATGATTCCCATAAAAATAACATCTAAAACATGATATAAGACAATATTAATTTATGAATTTAACATTCTTTATTAAATAAATACGAATTTTTAGATGTGACAATAAAATATGAGATTTATAGATACATAAATATTGATAGAAATTATTTAACAATTAAGTTACGTGACTTTTCGAAACATTTCAAATGTTTTATTTGTTAAATGATTGGCCAAATTTTTGTAACAAAACTTACACGTTTAACCAAAATCAATTAAGTTGCACATTATGAAATATAAAAAATCTAGTTGTGGCCATAAAATATGAGAGTTGTAGATACATAAATTTGGATAAAAAAACATTTAACAATTAAATTAGCGTGACTTTTGGCAAATGTTTCAAAAAAATCCAAACGTTTTATTCGTTAAATGATTGACCGGATTTTTTGTAACAAATTTAATACATTTGGTCGAAAAAAATTAAGGAAATATTTGACTGGATTTTTTATAAACAAAATTTTCAATATTCTTTCTCATTATTGGTCAGATTTACCCATAGCATTTAAGTAAAATCGTTACTCATATTTTAGGATTAAGGTTTACACAATATTTTTTTCAAATAACAATATTTTCTTTTTTTTTTTTTTTGGAAATTTGAATTCGAGTTACCATTCAACCGCCATTTTCCAAAAAAAAAAAAATACTAAGAATAGTAACTTTGAAAATTTTAAGCGAAAATTTCAATACTATTTTCAAGTAGATCCTTTTCTTTTTTTATATAGTAATAGATTTTTTGGAAAAAAACATATTTTATAGATAACAAATAATTACAATCTTGAAAAGAATTAGTGACAGCTGGCTAAAGTAGCTATACAGCTGAATCCAAAGAGAGGACTACATGTCGCAATGACGTAGCCTAAAGAAGAATAAAACCACTAAACAATATACACAAAGAACTAAACAACACATAAAACACCATTAACAACAACACTAACACAACTACAAGAAAACACTAAAAACTTGATTGTGGTCCTCCCCGCCAGCCAGAAAAGCACTTCGAGCCTCCTGTCGGACCAACATCCGAAGGCGACTATCCAATAAGACAGAAACATGACCCAAGACACAGATCTAGAAACTCCAATATTGGTATGGCTGACTAGACCCCATAGGATCACCACCGGAAATGCAATAGTAAACCCGCGACCCTCTTACGAAAATGAGATTGCCTTAGCATTTCTGGAGAAACATAATCGTCTTTCGGCATTGATTTAATTGTTTATTATTTTCTTTTATCAGTGGAACAATCAGATTTATTAGTTAATTTTAATTAAGTATTGTGGGTAATAAGTCGTATTCTTAGCATGTTAATTGTCATGTTTGTCATACTTTTTCGGTGTTTTGTTTAGCTTAATTATTCATTTTTATTGATTTTTATAAATTTTGTAGAATATCTGAGAACTTAATGAAGATTGGATGGCAAAAGAGACGAATTTGAGTTAAGGCATAGACACGCTAATTTCCTACAAGAGTTGGAAGAAGAAAGAAATCTTGAGTTGAAAAGAGAAATAAAAGACTTTTTGGAGTTTATTATTTATGGACTATTTTAATTTATTAGGATATTTTGGAGAGAGAATATTATTCTTCTTCGCATTTTTTCTAGGATTACGATTAGACTAATAATTAAATTGGATTGTTAGGTATTATTTTTTTCTCTCCTTTTTTTCCTCTTCTCTTAGTATTGTTTTTCTCTCTCCTTTTTTTTTTCCTCTTCTCTTTTGAGTCGACGTTATTACTTTTTTTATCTGGCAGATCTGCTTCCCCCATTCACGCACGTAGACAAGAATTCTTCTGCACTTTAATTTATTTCTACTGTCTTCATTAATTTTTAGGATGAATATTATATAGAAGACTACCATGTTTATGAACAACTAAATTATTTTTCCAGCCAAATGATTATTCTTGATTTGATTGTTCATGATTTGTGAGATGTAATTGAGTTTTCTATTCCCTATTCTCTTCTATTTATATGCCTCTTGTGTTTATTATCAATTGTTATTTTGGTTTATTGATGCA